GGGGGGGAAATAAAGGGTGTTTAAGAAAAAAACTGCAGCGTTGTAGTAATGAACATCAATGGCGTTTATTTTAATTTTGCTCTAATTAAACCCAAATGCACCTCAGAGTCCAGTGATTCAGCTCCACCCTTCCTAATTTAACAGCGCGGCGATTTTAAGGCTTCACGGTTAAGATGACAAGAGATCCTGCAGCCTGCTGTTTCCCACTTCAGTTCTCCGCATCCAAGGCCTGAAATGCCGGCAAGGGCCGCCAGGACCGCACCTGGCTCTAGGTGCTCCGAAGATGGATTTCGCGGCTCGTGTCCGCGGCTGGCAGCTCCCGGTGAGGGGACTCGGGCAGCGGGGGCTCCGGGCCGGCTGCCGAGCCGGCGGCGGCTCCGCGCCCCGCGGGGTCCGGCCGGCGCTACCCCTTGCGCTGCTTGTGCCGGGGGTTGCTCCTGCAGCACACGTAGAGCCGCCCGCGCCGCCGCACGATGTAGCAGTCCTTGCAGCGCTTCCTCAGCGCCGTCTTCGTCTTCAGCCCGGCCGGCGGCGGCGGCCCGGGCGGCGGCGGCGCGGCCAGCAGCCCGCGGGGCGCCCGCCACGGCGGCGGGGCCCAGCCCGCACAGGCCACGGGCGGCCCCGCCGCCCGGCCCCACGGCGCCAGCGAGCACAAGGGCGAGCGGCACAGCGAGCGGAGCGGGGCGGCCGCGGCGGCGGCCCTGGCCAGGAGGGACAGCATGCTCGGCACCCTGCGGGGACAGCGCGCCGGTCGGGACGCGCGCACGGCTGCCGCTGCCCTCCTCCGCGCCGCCCGCTGACCTCAGCCCGCGCCGCTCCCCGCCGGAAGCGCGCGCACACCCGGGGCGGGGCCGGGAGTCACGTGGGCGGCGCGAAGATGGCGGCGCCCGCCGCGACCTTCCGCTGGGTGCTGCCGCGGGGCCGCGCGCTGCTGCCCCGCCCGGGGCTGGCCGCCGCCGCCCGGCCCTACGGTGTGCGGGCCTCCGACACCGGCGAGCTGGTGACGCACACCGGGCAGGTGAGCGCGCCGGGCCCGGGCTGCCGCCGCTCCGCCGCTCCGGCAGGGCGGCGGGCGCGCCCCGCCTGCGCCTGCAGGGAATCCCGCCGGGGCCGCGGGCAGCGCGCTGGTGTGCTGTGGTGTAACGTAACGGGGAGGCTTAGGCCGGACATCAGGAGGGATTTCTTGCCGTGAACAGAGACTGGAATAGGCTGCCCCGGCCGCCCCCGGAGGGTTCAGGGAGTGGCTGGATGTGGCGCTTAGTGCCGCGGCCTGCGTGCCGTGGGGCGTTCGGTCACTGGTTGGGTTCGATGGTGTCACAGGCCCTTTCCAGCCTGATTTATTCTGTGATTCTCTGTTCGGCGCGCACAGTGGAAATTCATGCTCCTGGGTGATCCGTACACAGGAGGTACGCGCTGTTTCGGAAAATAACCAAACAAACAACCAAAGGACCCTGTTAATCAGGAGAACGCCATTGGGCATTCCTGAGCGTTCCGGTCCGAATCCGACTGGTGGCCCAGCCGAAGGGTTGAGAGGTGGAGGAGGCACCCTGGTGTCAGTGCCTTTGACTCCAGGTTACCTCTTTTCCAAGGAGAAACTGAGGCTCGTGTGGTGCCTTGAGATGCGAGAGAGGATGGCGCTAGCTTGGGAAAGCTGGCACTGTGGTTACTTAGCAGAACAGAAATAAATACGAAACCTGAATTTTCCAGTTTAGTTCACCACCTAGGTGAGATCAAGGAACGGCATTATAAATAAATAATTTGTGTTCACCTCTGTGATCAGGCTCTTCTGTTCACTGGCTTTCATGCCAGCCCTGACACCACCAGTTTCCTTGTCTGTTGTACTTTCCAATGTGCAATTCAGTTACTTGTGTGAGGGAAATGGAAGCGAATTTTTCTGTATATTATATGCCTGTAAGGTGATACTATTTGAATCTAAGCATACAGTTCAAGCTATTTATTTTCTAAGTCTTTGTGTTCTATGTTTGTTGTTGTTTCTCTGTAAATAAGATCAAGTTTATTTTGCACTCTAGGTATATGACGAGAAGGATTATAGAAGAGTTAGATTTGTTGGACGACAAAAGGAGGTAACTCAATCTACTATTTTTCATGGGAGAGGGGGTAGTTTATGGGTTTTTTTTCTTTACCTCATAGTAGTGTCCTCAACCTCATTCAAGAAACTGACTAAACCCAAACCCAGGAGCAAAAGAAAAAAAAAAAAATCCACCAAACAAAAAAACAATCTTTATCAAAACCATACTGGTTTGGATTTGGGGTTTCAGTGGAGGTTTTTTTCACTGTGTTGAAAAAAAATTTTAAGGCAGCTTAGCAACTTATATTTTTTTCTGTCTTACCTCCCTGCTTTTGGTAAACTCAAGATTTGCTGTACATTTTAAAGTGCTTTTATTTAGGGTGTTAAGAGTTGTAGGCATTTGAACATCTTAAACTTGGAACAGTTTTGTTTCAAGCATGTGTTTTAAGAAGTTAGTATGTTCTTAGCACATTTATGTTCAGAAAAATCACATCATTAAATGCTCTGCTGGATTGTGAATTTCTTTACATATTTCTCTTTACATCTGTTTTGAAGCTTAATTTGCTTCTGTCTAGGTAGAGTTCTGATCTTTACTCAAACCACGTTTTTAATGAGCCTGAGAAGCATTTGCCTCAAGAATGATGAAACAAATAAAAGTAAAATGTAGGCTATTCTGAAATGATGAAGCCTCAATTGCAAAGTCTAGTAATATCAGCATCATCCATGTGCAGTGCTGGAAAGGTGACCCTGTTGCTGTTGCTTAATATTTCACATACCCATTCTATGAGAAGTCCTTTAGCACTGAGTTTTCTCTAATGATCCAGCAGCACAGCTCCACAAGGGATCTGCTGGCCTTTGGGATAGAAATAGAATTATTTCAGCGAAAATGTATTCCTCGGTGCCTGAGCCTTTGAATATTGCCTTAGTGTTAATGCTATAAATGTTTATGTTCAGCAGAGACGTTAAATATAAGGTGTGACAGATTTTTAAAGTAGTTTCATATAATTATCCTTTTCCTAAATTAGTGTGAGCTAATTACACTAATTTCTGAGTTTTCATATTGAGTTTTCCTCACTGTGTGACGGATATAATTTAACTCATGCTGTGTGGCAAAAGTGGGGATTCTACATGTGAAATAATTAAATGAAAATGTCACTTAAAATGCTGAATTAGCTTACTTCAGGGAGGACAGTTGGCAAAGTAAGTCTCTCCCAGGTATTCTGCTACTTGTGTAACTTTTTAAGAAATGCTCCTTAAGCCTAATTCTCTGGGGGCAGCTGTCCCTCTAAATGTGCCTTTGACATCAAGTAATTTCATACTCCATGTGGTATGGAGCATCCAGGGTTTTTGGTTCAGCCCAGTTCTTCCTTCTCCAGCAAAAGCCAAGCTCTGTGTCTGCTGGGCAAGGTTTAATGCTAAGTTTTAATGGTGAAATTGTGACAAAAATTACATGTTAAATACTTTAAGTGATCTGTGCCTATTAATAGGATCTCTCTCTAGGGGCTTTGCCATTATCCCACAATGTGTTTCAGCTGCTAGTATTGGAGTTGACAGCCGTGTCTGTAGTCCGAATGTTGTCATGTTTCTGAAGCAGAAGCTCTCCTGGTGACTGTTCTTTCTTGGTGGCTTCTTCCCTTTGCCTTCATTAGGTCCAGGTGGTTGAGTCCTGCTCAGGATTGGCCCATTCCAGCCACAGCAGCTTGTCTGGGGGAAGTGCAGCCTCTGGAGTCTCCCCCAGTCAGGGTGGCTGGGCCTGTGTGCTTCAGGTGGCCAGGCCCAGGGGCATGGCCGAGCGTATGTGCTTATTGTCCCCTCAGTTCTGCTTGCCCAATTGTTAGTGACATCCCTGTGTTCTAGCTGAACTCAGTGGTTCTCTGTGGAGAATTGGGGATTAGTGCTCTCTGGCAAGGGCCTAAAGCAGGAAGCTGTGAGAAAACTGATCATGGCGACTGCTAAACTGCATCTGCCACAGCCCAGCCAGGTCATCCTGCCCTTCTGTAATCCATAATGTAGAGCAGGACCTATTTTAACACTGCCATTCCCACTTCAGCTCTGCCCTTTCTATGGGGCTGGTGCAGCAGCTGAAGGTGTGAGGAGGACTCACCTCAGTGCTTGTCTGGTTTAAATGTTCTCTCCTGCCTTTCCTCTATATCTTTGGGCTGAAATCAAATCCAAGTTTGGTTTTATCTCTTTAGTTTCCCAGACCATGGACTGGCACAGGTGGATAGGTGGGAAGAAGCAGAAACAAAATTGTCAAACTGGCACTCTGTCAGGAAAAAAATAGCCCATTGATTTATGCTTGGAGCAAGGCACATCTGGATGTGCTGAGGGAATTGGCCTCTTCCTGCTGAGTACTGCTGTGCTTTAGTCAAAGGGTTATGTGGTAACTGCAACCACTTGGGCTTTTTTTGTAGTGTGTTTTCCTGGTGAATTCTTAGACTGTGTCTTGTTTAGTAGGCTGAACCATAGACAAGTCTCAGCTATACATTAGATGAGAGTTCTTTGCTTCTCTTTTGCCTCACAAGTACCTTTTGTGGTTAAGAAGTGTTGGGATGAGTGGAGTTATTGCTTCTAATCTTGAAGTAAAGGTATGTAATGGTTTTATCTCTCTCTTGCTTTAGCATGAAATAAAGGATGCACATTTTTGAGTGTTATTAAAAACAGCAGTGAAAGTTCTTGCTGTTTGGTGAAAATTACAAGACTTGTGGACACAGCCCCAGACAGAGGGGTCCTTGATGTTGCCAATTTCTTTCAATACCAAAACCTATTTTTTTTGCTAACTTTTTTTAGCTATTATCTTCTTTTGGTAAGGACAAATTCTTAGTTGGTAAAACTGACTTTTCCATTACTGTACCAAAAAATGCAGCGACTTAATGGGAGGCTTGGTGGAAGTAATTCCTAGGTATTTATGTAATGGACACATAGCTGTCTTTTTCCCGAGAATCTCATCTTTATTCCAATACCAGAATGTTCATATGCTCTGTGTTTATACACAGAGCAGTAGGTACTGCCTCCTTTAGGTATGCATGTTATTTGATATTCATGTGTGTATATCATGGCCTTTGAAGAAGGTGACCCCTCCTGGAATACTTTTCCCTGAATTGTAGCAATAGTTGTCAGCTCAGTGCACACTTGGAGAGTGTTGGATTGCTGTAGGTCCTGCTGAGGGACAAGCTGCTATGTCGTCAGCCTGTCCAGACATGGATATGTTTTCCAGGCTATGCAGATGTACTCTAGGAAGAAGCCCTACTTGGCAGTGATGTACATATTCAGGAAGTGTCTATGATGGATTTACAGAGTGGAGTAGTGGCATTTAGAGGTTTTTTCCTTTTTTCTGGTGCTAAACAATTTGTCTTTCTGACTGTTGTTATGCACCACATTAATGTTTTCATGAGATTCCTGTGCAGTGATAGAATAAGGTACATGACTAGAGGCTCTAATTTACCAGCAGTTGTTTTATCTCATGCCTAACCTTACTTGTCTATTATTTTTGAGTTTATCAGTAGAGATTCTTCTGCAGTTTTATCATATAGTTACTAAAGCAGAATACAGTGTTGTTTAAATATTTTCTGTTCTTGTCTACTTGTTCCTGCTCACATCTCTGCTGAATCTGCTGAAACCTGAGCACTGGTGTGGCCTGTATATCAGGGGAAGGGGATTGATTACTTTTGCAGAGTTCAGTGTATAGTTCATTGATCTGGCTTATAGCAGAGCCTTAGAATTGGTGGAGGGGTTGGGAGGAAGCCTAAGCAGGAACATCTCAAAATAGCTGTAGTGGAA